TGAGTGCCAACGATCTCAAAGCTGTGGTGGATGGAGAGCTGATTGCAAGCAGGGGATAGTCTCCTTCACGAGCGGGCAGAACGTTGGTCCATTATCACACCACCAACTAGAGAGTAGGAGAGGTGTGAAGGAGGTGTACAAAACAGTAGATCACAATGCAAGAAATTGAGAGGTTGCATTGCGACAGGCATCGTGACCAAATGGACAAAGGCACTAGGGACCTGCAAGAAAGCACCGACAAAAAGGAATACGTTGAGGGAAGAATTTGGGGGATCGAGAGAATAATCTGGGGGATCTTGGTGAAGAGGAGGGAAGGTAGTAACAAGTCAAGGCAAAAATTATGCGATGTGCAAAATTTGCGTAATTCTACAGACCAAGGCTCAGTGGAAACAAGATGAAGTTGGTCTTTTTTAACACCAGAAGACGGCACTACGTCTCAGGACAGGAAAAGGGAGATCCTTGCTGCAACAGGAAGAAGGGTATTCATGCAAGATGTGCTGTTGAATGATCATGGACTCGTATGGTGCTCACATTGGAGTTCTGACTAGAGCCATCCGCTCAGCTCCACATAGTGCCAGACAGTCCAGTCCAGGTCCACACCCACCCTTGAACCAAAGTACCGAAGGACTGTCGTGAGCGAAGGACTGTCGCGAGCGCAGTTCCAACTTAGAGCCATCTGTCCAGCTCCACATAATGCCAGACAGTGCAGTCCAGGTCCGGTCCCGCACTGAAACCAAAGTACTTAATGACTGTCGCGAGTGCAGCTCTGACTAGAGGCAGCCGTCCAGCTCCACATAATGCCAGACAGTCCAGTCCAGGTCCAGACCCCCACTTAAATCAAAGGATCGAAGGACTGTCGTGAGGGCAATAACAATAGATCTCAAGCCATGTAGTGACTGTGGATGAGGCCGGTTGAGGATGGGAAAATGGGGTTGATGAAGTGTGCGACCAGCCATGGGTAGGATGGCCGAGATATTTCTTCTGCAGCAGCAGTATAGTAATATACTCTTATGGCTTGCCATTCGAATAGGAGTTGGACTGAAACTCCCACCCAGAATGGTACAGAGTCAACAGAGTCAACAGACCCGAGGTCATTACGGCGACCCTGGTGTATCTGTAAGGCTTCGTGACTCTCCCACGATAACCATAGCTATCAAGAAGTTGGAGGAAAGCCGAAAACACATCCATCAATATCTGGGCATGAAGGTGAATTACAGGGAGAGAGAGAAAGTAAAAGAGAGTGTGTTGTCGGGTGTGTGTCTTCACTTATACTTTGCTTGCATTTGTGAGGAGAAGGGCGATCAAAAGATGATTGAGAGAATTGGAGACCAGTCTGATCACACAAGCGGATGAGAGAGCATGGTGAAAGTCGCATCGACTGTCAAAGGAAACATTCAGGAGTTGATAGAGGGGGAAGGTTGGGGGGGGGGGGGGGGGGG